TTTTAATTATTGACTATAAAATGGAGAAAGGGTGAGACCTTCTTTACGTGCCTGTCTTCTGCAGCTCGCGAGGCCCTGTCCGTAGTCGTAAGGAATCTCTGATCTCAACTGCAACGCTAGATCCCCTTCCCTCGGTTATTGATCTGGGGCCCCGGTGCTGGGAGGGGCCGGCCGTGGGCGCCGTGGGCTACGGGCCGTGGGCCTGTGCCATGCGAACACAACAACAAATTTCTGGAAGCCTCTGCCGGCGATCATGACAAACTACTTACTCTATTGTTATTTTTATGTATCGTAATTTTTATTTATTTTTTTGAAAATAGTATTACAGTAACTTATTATAGATCCTAAATGTATTGTGCAAGTTGAGCAGTCGGCATGGATAAAATAGGGGACCGTGTAAGTCCCTATTGGTTTTTTTTTTGTCAGAAATATTACCTCGGCATGGGGAGGCGTCTTCCCATTTTGTATCAAGGCTGATTTGTTTTGTTATGTTTTGAAGAACGAAAATCTTTTCGTCGTGAAGACACACTCCGGCAGCAGATTCCAGAGAGCGCAGTGCGTCTGACAGGCGTGAGCAAATGGACTCGTTGAGGATGCTTTGTGTGACGTACTCCAGAAGAAAATGTGGGGCGGTGTGTGGTGCTGTGATGTGTTCAAAGTCAATTGTGATCCTTATACCTCTTACAGAGGAAATAAAACAAACTTCCATTCTCAACCCATGTGTTGGACTAACTTTACACATACCCGATACAATGCACCTCTCTAATGAGGGTGACCAACCATTAAGAAACGAAACGGAACTGGTGGAGAGGCATTTATTTACCCCTGTCATAAGCGTTGTTAGTTCGAAAGTTAGAGGCTGGTGTGCTAGCCAAACGCCTTGGGGTGCTCGGGTAGGCATCACCGCACTACAGGAGTGCTGCACAGTACAGCCCCCCCGCAGGCTGGTGGCGGGCTGGCCGAACGCCTTGGGATGGACGGGTAGGCATCACCGCACTACAGGAGTGCTGCACAGTACAGCCCACCCCCCACCCGCAGGCTGCTGGCGGGCTGGCCGAACGCCTTGGGGTG